TCATCATCCCTCTGATGAGAGATCTGCAGTGACTTCCTAGTCCATATTGGGTTAAACCTGATATTGAAGGAATTTCACTGCAACCTCACTTAATTCAGCCTTTTCCTTTCCTGTTCTGTAGAGAATAGGCATTCCACTCACAGAAGCTGGTATCCTTACTCTGCATGTCTGTTTTATATATTACATAGGTTACATACATCCTAAAATCTTAGTCATTGATTTATGTTACTCAGAAATCCAAATCTAAAGGGACTTTTGTGTTTCTGGGGACAAGCGTCCTCTCAGGCCTCTCCCGCAGAGTCTGGCAGCCTAGGATGTAACCCTGACAGCCTGGCCAGTACTGAGATGACAAACAGACCTGCTCACTGCTGAGGGCACATATACGAAGGCTCTGGCACAGCGGTGAGAGCTTAGGCTCTGAATCCAAAGAGACTGGATTTAAACTCCAGCTTTGCCAGTTACTGGTGAGACAAGTTACTTCTGCCTTCTGAGTCTGTCTTTCCTCATTTGTAAACAGAGGATGATTTACTAGCACTTTACTGTGGTTGGGATTAAATGAGATAATAAATGTAAAGAGATGGGCATAGCTATCAGGGGAACTCAGTCAGGGAAGGGACTGTGTTTTATTCACCTTTAAATTCCTGTACCTAGCACAGTGCCTGGAACATAACAGGGGTCTGGTCATTGTTTCCTGGCCTGAACTGATGGGGAGGCCCTCTGGCTATTTGGGAGCTGGCCATGTTAGTCAATTCTGAGGTAGCGAATTCTCTCTCTCCTCCATCTTTGCCAGGCTTCCTCTACCTACCATTGAAGGTTTCTGAAGGTGGCCGTGCGTCAGTAATCCACTCAACACCTATTTCCTCAGCGCTGTCTTTATATAAGTCTCTGTGATGCCCCTTACTTGAAGTCAACAGTAGAGAATCTATCAGCGCATCCCGTTTTCCATACCTGGGTTTATACTGCCCTCTGGTGCATACTTATGGGACAAGCGCGTTACATGAGGGCTTCTGCTGGATGACCTTTCCTTGACATTGGGGAAGACAGTCTCCCCTATAGGGGCCATCTGCAGTGCTCTTTCGAGGAGAAGTGGTGTTTAAGACGCCCTCCTCGCCCAGTTTAGCTTGCAGCTCTTGAGGCTTACCAAACTCAGAGGCTTTTTACCAATGTCTCTGACCCTAGGCCATTAAATAATACCATCCTTCTAGGCTCAAGTTTCTTTCTCCAGCAGGCACTTTTTGTCCTGCCAAGACTCAAGAGGAACGGGGTAGAGTTTATTTGAGTTTATCTTTCTCCCTCCACTGTCTGGTTTCCTCTAATCTCTGGGCTCTTAATTCTTATGGCTGTCCCAGCTGCTCTCAGGGGTCTGGGGTTGCGGGAGCCAGGGGAGAACCAGAACCAACCATTCCTATCCAGTGCCCGGCCCCCTGCTTCCACCCCCGCCTCACTGTCTACCATTCCTTCCCAGAGCCAAGCTCCCAGTTACTGAAAGCGAAGTGGGGTCCTTCAAGGAGAAGGAGCAAAGGAGAAGAGGAGGGGTTAAAGTTCAGCCCACCCTCCTCTGGCCTCACCATGAAACCTGCTAGAAGTATTTGTCTTTCATGATTAAGTCGAATAACATAAATTTGCTGATATGCAACTATGTTTCACCTACATAACCAGAAATTTTATCTAGTTCAGTGAAATACTCCACATGTAAGCCCTGTGTGTGTTTGTAGTGGCCTGGAGTCCCAGGTTTCCTGAGCTCATTCAGACCCATTAGGACCAGGCTTGTGGAACATCAGGATCCTGGACTGTAGAGCTGAAAGGAGGGCCCTAAAGCTGGAGAAAGAGTTGAGTTGAACTTAAGGACCTGGGACCACCGTTCCTCCCCACATCAGGCCTTCGTGTTCCTGCGCAGGTTCTGCGGTAACCTCCAGACCGGGCTTGGTTTGGGGTGCTCAGCCAGGGGCCAGCAAGGGAACACTGAGGAAGCCTTCTTCTTGCCCAACTGTGCTCACCCTCCCAGCTCTACGGGCAGGATTTTCTGGGACCTTCAGGATCCTCAGCCTTCTGGGAACACCCAGCATCCGTCCCTCACCTCTGCTGCTGAGCTCTGGTTGTGGGGCTGCTGTGCACAGGAAGCTTCCGGTGCAAATCCTGGGAACACACCGGCTGTGTGGGGGGCCAAGCTGATCAGAGGCAGCTCCGAGGCCCTGAGAACCCCTTAGCTGGCTCCAGTGCCTTGCCAAACCTTGGGTACAGCTGCCAGGGCAAGCCTGGTGCAGCAGGCATCTAAAACTTGCCCAAGGAGTGAGGGCAAGGTGGCCTGGGAGGTTTTAAGCTGCAGAGTAAGGGAAGGTTTATGAGTCACAGTTCACAGGACTCACCAAGGATGAGAAAGTTTCCCTTCTGTGACTCACTCGCCTGCCTAGCAAAATCACCTGACCAACAGATAGATCTTGATATCTTGGAACCTGGTGGTTCAGGTTAGAAACCTGGTCTCTTTCCTCCTAGGAGGATGCAAGCAAGAGAGGGAGGGGCTCAGCTCAGACCATTGTAATCATCCATCCATCCACCCACCCACTCACTCATTTATTCATTCATTAAACAAATGGTTATTGAGCATCTATATGTGCCAGGCACTGTGCTAGTAGCAGTGGATAAAACAGACAAAAATCTCTGCCTTCCTGGTGAGGCAGCATCTTGAGTCAAGCCATTAATACTCACCTAACTATGCTGTTGCCCAGCTTACATTTCTATTACAAAACTATTACCTCTTCTACCATGGGATAAAGAGATAACATGTTTTTTAAACTTTGATAAGGGGAAATGCTCAGGATATGCAGCCATCCCTCTGTATCCCTGGGGGATCGGTTCTAGGACTCCCCTCCCATACCAAAATCTTGAGCATATCAAGGATGTTCAAGTCCCTTTTACAAAACGACATAGTATTTGCATATAACCTATGCACATCCTCCTGTACAGTACTTCAAATCATCCCTAGATTATTTATAATACCGAAAACAACGTAAATGCTATGTAAATTGTTGCTATACTTTGTTGTTTTTATCTGTATTATTTTAAATTTTAATATATTTTTTGAATATTTCCAATCTGTAGTTGGTCATATCTGTGGATCCAAAACCCTCAGATATGGAGGGCCAACTTTTTTTTTTTGAGATGGAGTCTCACTCTCTTGCCCAGGATGGAATATGGAGTGGCATGATCTCAGCTCACTGCAACCTCTGCCTCCCGGGTTCAAGCAGTTCTTCTTCAGTACTCCAAGTAGCTGGAATTACAGGTGCCTGCCACCACACCTGGCTAATTTTTTTTGTGTGTGTGTTTTTAGTAGAGACATAGTTCATCATGATGGCCAGGCTGGTCTTGAACTCCTGACCTCAAGTGATCCACCCACCTCGGCCTCCCAAAGTGCTGGGATTATGGGATTATAGGCATGAACCACAGCTCCTGGCCATCAACTGTAATCTTAAATTTTAAAAGCCCAATACAAGATATATATATATATATATAATGTTAACACATTTGTGCATAGAAGAAGGGCAGAGAGGAAGTAGCCCCTAAATATCAGCAGGGGTGTAAATCACTAGCAGTATATGACATACATGTGCATAGAAAAAGGGCAAGGAGGAAACAACTCCTAAATATCAGTAGGGGAGATTGTGTTTTCTAGGAGGGCCACAAGCTCCCCTGTCCCCTGTGCTCTTCATACAGTATGACCATGATGGAGAGGTGTGATCTAAGTTCCCTCTCCATGCATTTGTGACTGTGGAGGCAATACAACTTCCGCCTGGTCCTCCTGGGATGCTCACATTGGAAACTGACACTGGTGTTAGAAAGCACATGGAAAGGCCACACATGGGTGAACTGGCGCTAACCCTGCTGACCTCAGCTGACAACCAGCATCAATCACCAGACACATGAGTGAGGAAGCTCCTCTGTGACCTCTGACTGAGACCCTGTGAGAGACCCCAAGCATGAGCAGCCTAGCTTAGCCTAGCCAACCACCAGAATCAGAAATTAAAAATGGATGTTGTTGTTTAAAACAACGGAGTTTGGGGGTGATTTGTTATACAGCAATAGCTATCCAGAAAAAGAGTATTTAACTTCTATGATGTGAGATCATGGATATTAACAATACTTTTCCATATTTTCCAATATTTCTATAATGACCATTTATTTCTCTTATAATCAGTAATTTAAAAAAGGGAAAATTTGGTCTAAACACGAATTTAGGGACTTAAACTAGACTTGGAGAAAAGCTTTCTATGCAAGATTTATTAAATACTGGAAAGGATGAGGAAGATAAATTTAAGTCAATATGATGGAAAGAGTGGTGGATTTGGAATGAGGAAACTTAGAAATGAATCTGTTTTCTGGGTGACCTTGAGCAAGCCTTTGCTAAAATTTGGTTTTCTATTTTGAAAAATGCAGCTGGCTGCTTAAGGAAGATAACATCCACCAGGGCGCCTGGCCCAGAAAAGACACTCTGTAAGTGGTAGGTGGATCCTGTCTAATCAATGCCAATTATAACCAGGCATCTGCAAGCTTTGTGGAGGGCGCATCTTTCACTGCTACCAGAGCCTACAGTTCTAATAATGAAAATTGCCTGGAAAAGAACCACAACTCTTAAAAAAAAAAAAAAAAAAAATCCAAAACCACAAAGTGGCTTTTGCAGCGGTCCTTGCCTGTGACGCCGGGCCATGGCTGGAGCCCCTAGCTCCTCATCTCTCAGAAGCCTCCATCCTGTATCAATGGCAAGAGAGTCCGGGGGTGACAGACAGTGGGGCCGGCAGCCGAGCCAGGCAGGACGCTGCGCGCCGAGTTGCTGGAGCCGGTGTCCCGGCAACCCTGGAACGCGCCTCCGTGGGAGAAGCAGGCGGCCGCAGCGTCCCTTTTGCTCTCGGCTCTCGGTTCCTCGGCCTCGGCGTGGCGTGCGTTCGGCAGGCAGTTTGGCTGCCAGTTGGTTCGTTGGTCCCAGCCGCATGCTCCGTGGAGGCCTCTGAGCACAGACCGGGGCCTCCCCTGGGGAAGGGGGTGGGAAGACTCTGAGGTGGAAAAGACGGAGCTGGATGGGGGGGTGCAGCGAGCCTGGCTTGGGCTGGGGGCGGACTTGCTGGAGCTCCGAGGGCTTCCAAACCACGCATCGCCCAGGTGGAGGGAGGGAGGCTCTGGTTTAGAGGCCAGTCCTGCCCGCCTGACTTTCGGTGGCTTGTGGAATTTGTTTGTTTTGACTGATACCTTTCTTAAGAGGTTCTTTTCTTTGTCTCTGGGTTGCTTCTAATATTTAAAATCAACATGTGCACAGATGAGTCCATCCATGATCACTGGAAACGGTCCACGGGGCTGCTGTCTCCCCTCTATCTCAAGCGCGACCCGCGGCAGAGAGCTGGAGAAGGTTCCAGAAAAAAGGGACTCTGGCATGACCGAGGTGGAGAGGACCTACAGTTGAGTTCTAAGAAATCCAGAGCACTCACTGGGTGTGGAGTTGGTGGCCACATCCAAGTATACTACATCCGGGGGCGGGGGCAGGTGGAGGGCACCATTTGAAATTTAGAAGGAAGCTAATTTGGGGGCATGTAAAAAGAGCTGCTTGAATAGTAGCTTATGGCTGTGCTAACCCGAGATTTGATTAGGCAGAGAGCACCACCGAAGCAGAGTCTCATAAATTACCTCACTGGATCTCCCTTATGAGTAAAGGGAGCCAGAGATTTGACCTTCCCAGTGCTTGGGTTAATAAATGGTGAGCCTGGGATTTGACATGAGCTTCAGATTTGACGTGAGTCTGCCATACTCCCGAGCCTGTGTCCTTTCATCTTTGCTCAGCTATTAATAGGTTTGTGTCACTGTTTATTGGATGGGACAGTTTAGGTGGGAATTATGAACACTTTAAAAATTAAATGATGGCTGGTAGCTCCATAATTGGTTAAGGCCAAGGAGGATATTCAGGGACGCGTTTGCCTTTAGAGAACAGTGTCATGGCGCCTGAACAGCCACAGTCGCCCAGAAAAGCTCAGAGCGCGCCTGCGCTCAAGTTGTCATTTACCTGTTATGGGTGAGAGGCCTGAGTGCTGCAAAAAGGGATTGTGAAATGTCCAGACTTTGCTGGATCAGATCTTAGCTTTCTCCCTGGTCTTCTGTATTCTGGGTCTGTGATCTCATTCTCCTTCACAGTGGGGAGAAAGGAGGGAGGTACAACTCATTCCACCCAGCTATTAATATAAGCTGGGACCACGAGAAGGAGGAGCTGGAGGAGTTAGAACTATTAATTGTCCAAGTGTGTCTGGAACAGCAAGGAGAAAAGGGTTCTGGGATTCTCAAACTTTAAGCTCCAGACCTTCCTGCAGTTTCCAGTTTGGTTTGGGGTAAAGGAAGAAGCTGCTGTTTTAAGGATGTCCTAGGGAGGATCCATGTTTTTGAGTTAGGGGTACCAGAAGGGCACCAGGTCCCAGACCACATTAATGAAAGACCCATGGTGTCCTTTCCTGCTGTGTAGGAGAGTCTATTCAGGAAAACACATCTGAGTTTAGCTTAACATGGAATCTATGGATTTCAGGAAGGAAGGGGCTCCACAAACCAATTGAAGATACGAGTGTGTGTGTGTGTGTGTGCATTTTTCCATCAGAGAAACGATTGCTTTCATTACTGCTTATGGGGGAGGGGATATAATAAAAAAACAGGTTAAAAATTTCTGTCCTTGATCCTTAGGCCCATTATGAAGCAGATAAGCAGGGGTGGGAAATAGTGTTTGGTTAAATGAATATCCATGTTAAACAAACATGGCTTGATGTATTATTTTTCTCCCTGCCAGACAGAGCTATTGTGACAATCAGCTGAGATGACAAACATATGAAAGTGCTTTGGTTATGTAAGGTGTTATTCCTGCCTAAAAAAATGGAAATAATTATCCTGAATTCCACAGATGGCAATAAAGAAACAGACTTTCTTCCAAATTCTCTTTTTTCCCTTGAATTCCTTTCTGGTTACAAAAACCTTCTCTTGGCCTTTAATTACATCATTTCTTCTTATTTTGTGGTGTTTTAGAAACTTGTCAGAATTTTCTGGCTTCTGGCTTATTTGACATTTATTGCACTTGAATAACAATTTTCATGATAAATGGTGAACCTTTCAAGCAGGGTGTATCTCCTTAGCGTGTTTGTTTCTCCCCATAGCCTTCTGAGCTAGATGGGGGAGAGGGAAGCCATTGGGAGCTGGGGGTGATGAAGTAATTGGCTTGCTTGGAGTAGCTGGATGGTACTCTATGCAGTGGGAGCATCAGTATTAGTATTAGCATCAGTATTAATAAGTGTTCAGACTTGTAATTCCAGCTTCTCTTCCAGCTAATCTTCTTTTACCAGGGGAAGGGCGGGGAGGCATCTTGAGGACATGTTTAAGTGTCTCCAGCTCAAATTTGAGGTTGAGTTACTCTTAGGAAGATCCTGTAGTCAGCTTGATCTAGAGAGTGTGCTGTTGGTCAGTTTAGCAAGAGATTGCTCTTCCCATCCTTGTCCATCAGATAAGTGTTCCCCATTATAGTGGCCACAGGCCACTTTCTAGATTGCTGCTGCCACAAAACTTTTTAAGCAAGCAAGGAAGTGTGCTGAAGTTTTAGGTGTGATTTCACTGCTCGCTGCTCAGGGACATGCAGTACATTTAAATTTTGCTCCTAACGCAAGCAAACAAAAAACTTGGGAAAGGGCCCTCTCTGATACCATCCATAGAGCCAACCAATTCTTGCTTGGGTGAACTCTCAAGTCCTATAGTGGCAATATACAATTACAATGTTTACATGCTATGAAAGGCAGCCACTGTTAAAACCTATGGGCAAAAATGTCCATAAGTAAATCTTACCATAAATACCTCAGAACTCACAACTCACATTGCTCTTCAGTCAGATGGGGACATTCCCACCAGCAATGATAGGAATTCCATTCCTCCAAGCTATGCCAACCCTGGGTGTTTGCAAATGGATAACAAATAATGGTATCTGATTTTAAGTTCAGTTCTTCAATTATTTGGACGGGGCCAGGTACTGTGGCTCATGCCTGTAATCCCAGCACTTTTTAGGTGGGCGGATCACTTGAGCTCAGGAGTTTGAGACCAGCCTGGGCAACATGGTGGGACCCCATCTCTACAAAAAATACAAAAAAAAAAAAATAGCTGGTCATGCTTGTGCATGCCTATGGTCCCAGATACTTGGGAGGCTGGGGGTGGGAGCATTACTTGAGTCCTAGGGGCAGAGGTTGTAGTGAACCGAGATCACTCCAGCCTAGGTGACAGAGTAAGACCCTGTCTCAAAAAAAACCCCAAAAAACCACAAAATAAACAACCACCCACTCCCCCAAATCCAATTATTAGGATGGATGCAATTTCCCCCAAACATATATTGGCTGTTTGTATGTGTTATTTTATTTTATCTTATTTTGAGATGGGGTCTCACTCTGTCACCCAGGCCGAAGTGCAGTGTCCATTCTACTATAAAGACACGCACACGTATGTTTATTGCGGCACCGTTCACAATAGCAAAGACTTGGAACCAACCCAAATGTCCATCAATGATAGACTGGATAAAGAAAACGTGGCACATATACACCATGGAATACTATGCAGCCATGAAAAACGATGAGTTCCTGTCCTTTGCAGGGACATAGATGAAGCTGAAAACCATCATTCTCAGCAAACTAACACAAGAACAGAGAACCAAACACCGCATGTTCTCACTCATAAGTGGAGTTGAACAACGAGAACACATGGACACAGAGAGGGGAGCATCACACACCAGGGCCTGTCAGGGGGTGGGGGGCTAGGGGAGGGATAGCATTAGGAGAAATACCTAATGTAGACAACGGATTGATGTGTGCAGCAAACTACCATGACATGTGTATACCTGTGTAACAAACCTGCACGTTTTACACACATACCTCAGAACTTAAAGTACAAAAAAAAGCTCATAATTTGTCATGACTACTCTTTTTTATTTCTATCATGTATGTTACAGATTTTCCCCCAGTTTATAGTTTGCTATGAAAGTTTTAAGTTTATATTTAAAGAGGCATGTTCAAATCTATGCCTCTTTTCCTTTATTTTGCCTATATTTGATATCTTTCTTGGCAATAACTTCTTCGCTCTAAGATTATATAAACTTTTACTTATTTTTTTCAGGTACATCTTTAATTTCAATTTTCACATTCAAATCTGTAAGTTATCTGGATTATTCCAGTTTGGGATAAGAAAGGTTTACTTTTATTTTTATTCCAAATGGTTAATCAGTTGTTCCAGCAATATTTTTTGAATAACCCATCCTTTCTTCACCAAGATAAAATGCCACTTGTTTTCATATAAAATTTTATTCTATTTATGTTTACTATTTTGTTCTATTGATTTGTCTGTTAGGGTTTTTGTCAGTACCATCTCGATTATTTGAATGTTAAACTACATTTTATAAATTATACTCCATAGCTATGTAACTCTGAACAAGTTATTTGACATTTCTGGAGCTTAATTTCTTTACCTGTAAATTTATCTCATTTTAATTATAATTATGGCCTTCTTTTCATTTCTATTATTATTATTATTATTTTTGTTTTTTGGGGGATGGAGTCTCACTCTATTGCCCAGGCTGTAGTGCAGTGTGATGTGATCTCAGCTCACTGCAACCCCCGCTTCCTGGGATCAAGCGATTCTCCTGCCTCAGCCTCCTGAGTAACAGGGATTACAGGCATGCACCACCATGCCTGGCTAAGTTTTGTATTTTTGGTAGAGGCGGGGTTTCACCATGTTGGCCAGGCAGTCTCAAACTCCTGACCTCAGGTGATCCGCCCGCCTCAGCCTCCCAAAATGCTGGGATTACAGGCCAGGCCCTAATATTATTTGTATTTAAAATTTTTTCTTGAACCTTGTTTATCACATTATTAGCTTTTGCATGAAGCCAAAGTTCTGATAATCTTTATTTCAATCTTTTATGATTTTATTCCTTAAAATTTTTTTGGGGGGGAAGGGTTACTCTTTTTTTTTTTTCTTCTTATTTCTTAAATTGACAATTTATCTCATTCATTTTGGAATTTTTTATTTTGAACATTATAATCCATCAATTCTTGGATAGACAGTTTGCATCTTTGAAGTAGGGACTGGATGTTACCAGGTCTGTGAGCCGAGCAGCAGGCGGGATGTGGTTGTAATAATTTTTGCTGTATGAGCACTGAAGCATGTAGAATGTGTGTTCACAGCTTGGAAGAAAACTCCAGAGACAATAGAGAAACACTTTTGTGCAGTGTCTGATACCTGTAATACCAGCACTTTGGGAGGCCGAGGCAGGCAGATCATGAGGTCAGGAGTTCGAGACCAGCCTGGCTAAGAGACCAGCCTGGCCAAGATGGTGAAATCCCACCTCTACTAAAAATACAAAAATTGGTCTCAGCGCCACCGTGCCTGTAACCCCAGCACTTTG